GGGGTATGGAGGGCAGTCAGCCTGCTGGGGTATGGAGGGCAGTCAGCTGAGTGCCCACGGAGCACCGGACTGAACTTGGACCTCTGTGTCGCCACAAGAATGTGGCTCTTGTGTTTTCTTCCTGAGCTGTGTCACTTGGTTTTGAACTTAGGACTGAGACTTCGCTCTCAGAAGTGAAGGTGTGGAGTGTGTTTGGATATCATCTGATTTAAAGTTTAATTTCTTAAGTGAGTTTTCTGGAAAGCTTGTTGTTTGTTATCACACCTCTAAGCCCTCGTTTCCCTTTTTATTTTAAAATGCATAATGTTCAGAGGAGTTCTGGAAGTTTAAAAGTGTAGTTTATTTATTTTAAAGAGCAAGGTTTTGGGAATGTGGGGAGGGACTTTGTAAGGGGGACAGCGTTTGGGATGTAAATAAATAAAATAAAAACCAAGATTTCATTGTATTGCTCACTATGGCCTAGGAGTTGCTATCCTCTTGCCTCCACCTCTGGAGAGCCTGAAGGATATATATGCACCAGGTCCAGCTGTGGATGAATTAAATAGGCATGGCTTACTTCAGAAACCATTTGCTGTATCTGCTGATATGGGAGCACAGGGCTTCATCTACTGAATACTTTCTGTCCCGTAGGTGTGGCCTCAGGGTGCTGGCAGCAGTGTTTGCATATTTAAATAGAAAGTCTTGGTTTTGGAACCAGGTTAAATCAAGAACTTTAATTGTATGAGGTACCAACTTGTAACCAACCCCAGCACTCAGGAGGCTGAAGAAGGAGGCTCTGACTTCAGGGCTGCCCTGACACCTCAAGTTGGTGCAAGAGAGCATTCAGCCTGAATGATGGTGGTCTGCGGTGTTGTGCAGAGCTGTGTAGGCACTGAGGTTGAACTTCACATCTGCCTGGGAGCCATCCCTCTGTTCTTGGCCACCCCTCAGCAGACACGATCAGCTGTCTGTCTCTCTGAGTTTGTCTTCACTGATCCTGTCGTGTAAACGGAGTCATAAGTATGTGTCCTTTGTGCTGGGCTGCTTTCCCTCGGCTCGCTTTTAAGGCGTCCCTTTAAGAGTGCACAGCACTTTGCTCTTTGTGGCTGAGTAATCCTCATTCATCATGTGGGTAGACCATACATAGTCTGTCTGCTCACCGTGGGGTGGAGGTTTGGATTGAGGCTTAGTTGAGATTATTCTTCATGGTAAACTCCCGGATGCCTGACACTAACACATACTCCTTGGCATATTATCAGCAGATGGCTACCCCAAGGGCCTCAGGATGGGTTGCTGCTTGGAGGTGTTTAATGGTGCTGCGTAGCTGTCGGGCCCTCTGGGTTCTGTGGTTACAGTGACCGGTAGAGCTAGCTGTGCTTCTGTCCTGCTCTGTGTGGCAGAACACAGTCCAGTGGCCCTGTGTGGGTTGGTTTTTGTTTTGTTGTTTTTGGTTTTTTAGTTTGGTTTGTTTTTTTCCTTTGAGGAGGTTGATGTTGAACTTCAGATCATCTGGTTATTCCTTAAAGACACCAGTGCCTGGGAGCCATCCCTCTCTTCTCAACCATCCCCTCAGCAGACACAATCAAATGTCTGTCTCTCTGAGTTTGTCTCAGAAATGGTGTGCTGCCCATGGGGTATGTCGAGGCTCTGGTCTTGTTTTTGATGGATATCTGTGCGGTTCCAGAGCTGTCCACCTGGGCTTGGCCCTGTGTGCCCTGGGTTAGCCTTGTGTAGACTTTGAACAAGTCTCCACAGACTACGAATAAGCTAGCAAGCTTTTGCCTGAGATGGGCTACAGTTCCACTTGGCTGCTTGTCTCTAGTAAGCTCTTGCAAGTCATTACAGTTCAAAGGTCATGTATTGAGGCATTTGTGTCCTGTGGGTATCATGTGAGGGATAGATGGCTTTGCTTGGTTTCTCTTTTAACCATGACCCTACACACAGTTGTCAGAAGCCCCTAGCATTCCAGAAGAGCTAGAAGAGATTGCATCTTCATCAGTGATCCGAGACTGAGGGTGCCATTTTTTTTCTAGGGCGGTCGGATCTCCTCCAAGTCCCTTGTCCTGAGTCCGCTGTCTGTATTCATTCCTCTGTGTGTTTCTGTCTAAGTGGGAGTACTCCAACACAAGACCCTCAAACTCTGTTTTAATGGCCTTCTTAGTGGCATAGCTCCTATAGCAAGCAGAAACCGAGTCATGTCTTGCATTACAGCAGGCCCCTTGAGCAACTGGTGTGGCTGTGTGGCTCTGAAGTGACTGTCTCTCCCCATTCAGGGAGCTCTAAGGCTCTTGCTTTCATGGTAGCCAGCCCACATGCTCCTTCACCATTTGAACTCCACCTGAGCTGTGTGCTGGAGCATCATGCTTGAGAAGCTGGAACTTGTCACAGCAGGGTCTGATGCATAGCACAGTGGCATTGCCTGCACAGGTAGCTAGCAGATGACCAGGGATAAGCAGTGACAAATCTCACTGCTTTTCTGAAGCTATTTTTGCTGAAGTTTGGTTCTGTCTGTTGTGCCTCCGACCTGTATACCATACTCACTTTGCCTTTGGGTTGAGAGCACACTCAGGATATATAGTTTCTAGAACATGGGCATGCAGACAGCTACAAGTGCCACCTACATGTGCTGTGTCTGTTGACTGGACGGCTGTCGGCTTCTGGGAGGCTAAGGGTCGATTACAGTACATTTTTTAAAAAAGATTTCTTTTTATGTTATGTGTATGAATATTTTGCCTATATGTGTATATCACATACATACCTGGTGCTAGTGGAAGACTAAAGAGACATTAGGTCCATGGGCCTGGAATTACTACCATGTGGATGCTGGGAATTGAACCCAGGTCTTCTGGAAGAGTAGCCAGTGCTCTTAACTGCTGAGCCAATTCTCCAACTCCGCATTTTTTTTATTAATTATTTTTTGCCCGGGAAAAATAATTTATACATTAGGGTTCCCTCTCTTGCTTAGCAGGATCAGATTTCAAGAAAAGCCTTCAACCCCTGGGAGTTGAATTGGGACCATCAGGGTGAGCTCACTGTGGGATGGCTACAAGCTCTGACTTCAGACCTTAGCCA